AAAGAGTTCAGCAACTCGAGTCTAGTTTTTCTGCATTCCTTTTCACAAAATTTTCGTAAATATTTGTGCGGTTCGACTGCGCAACACTGCGTGCTGCGTATTTCATTTGTATGTTGAGATGATGGTCACACATTTTGCTTGCAATGAATTACCATGAATATGGTAGAACAATATGCATAATACAAGTACCTACCCGCTAAATAGTTTCAAAGAAATACTAAAGACGGGAATTCCCTAATCCACAAGAATGTATTGAATATCCACTACTAATATTTTTAAGGCCAAATTTATAATAGGAATTTCCTAATCTTTAAGTATTAAAAACTCATAATTTCTTTACTCCATAATCTATATCTTAATTTTCTCCTTATTTACAATTTGTCATAATATTTCTATTATTCTATGCATACGTATTTGCATATTACATACAAAAATAGATAACAGAACTCAAATTTGCGATCGAATTCATTTGAAACCGAGCGCTATTGCAACCATTCAAAGAATTTGAAAGTGAAAAGGAATGCTGAAAAGGGTAGCAGCGAGCTGTTACGAACAAGAACACAAAGCGTGCCACCCGAACACGAGTGGCACGGTCCCTTCGTCTTTCCTCGTCGTCCCCTCGCCCACAATAAACTGGTATGAGACTCTTTTGAGTCCCTGTGTAAAACGGCACATATTTGCTGATATTCTACTGATGTGCAGACAAAAATTTTAGTGTTGCCGGTTATTTGCATTAATTGCGTGCAAAAAGTGACAGCAGAACGTGATGCTGTTGCAAGTGTTGCCAAAATTCTCGCAGAATGTGATACTTTGACAAATTTGCTACACTGCTGTCGTGATTGCCATCTCGAACGCACTCATACTATATAAATGATCAGGATGACCAGACGAATTGAAATCCATGAGACTGTCTGTCTGTCCGTCCGTCCGTGCAAGCTGTAACTTGAGTAAAAATTAGAAAATCTTGACGAAACTTGGTACACATGTTCCTTCCCACCATTTCGGTATTGTAGATGGGTGTAATCGGATCACTTCCGCGCCCACAAACGTCATTAATCGAAAAGCTGTAAATTGCCATAACTAAGCCGCAAATAAAACAGTTATTTGGTACGACGAATTTTATTAGGGTGGGGCATATGAGGTTTGAAAATCATTAAAAGTGGGAGTGTTTCCGTCCCCTAATAGGTTTAATGTATATACCTTCAGACGATAACCCCGCCCTCGCCCCATATAACGGGTTTGTTAAAGAGTTATATAGGAGCCAATGTCAAAATTGGACAGTGAACGTGGCACCGCCCACCTTTAATGGAAATCAGTTACCTCCGTGCTTATTCGACTAATTTCAACCGAACTCGGTACATAATCTTCGACAAAATCGGAACATAACTGTTGAAGCCCCCAGATATTTTAGCAAAATTAACTTAGCGTATAATATGCAATATGCTATAGTTTAATGTCGAATATGAAAAATTATATTATACTACACATAATGATTTTCGTTATTCTAACAAACCTTATACCGTATATGTCGGTTAGTCAAATAGTCAATCTACGTAAAAACGTTTTCCACATCAACCCAATATATTAAATGTAGCCTCTTCGGTTAAGTTTATATCACATATTTCTCATTTAGGGATAATTTGTATATATTTTTCGTTGACGCGAAATAAAATATAGTAATAAAACTAAGTGAGCCTATGACCTTCAATATAAGATAATAAAATACCAAATTTGATTGTAAGATCTTTGCAAGTTGCATGAGTGTGAAATATTCGGTTACAATCGAACTTAGGCCTTTCTTACTTGTTCATTATAATTTGTATTCAGCATTTACGTATAAATGGTATAATAATGGGGGGTAAAGAAAATAGTATTGCGCTGATTACCTTACCTAAGTGTGGAAAAAGCGCAAGTAAAATTTATGGGCTTTTCATAAAACTTAATACTTCGAGAATGTTTGTTTAGAGCACTATTGGTAGGTTTTCCCAAAGAACTACAGTTGATGACAGAAAGAGAACTGGACGTCCTCACAAAGTTCGAACCAATTCACCCATAAAAACTGTAACTAAAGGAAAATGGATATATCGACCAGATCAATGTCAAGACTTATTCGAGATCATCTTCACATGAAAGCCTACCGTCGGTCAACTGATTATCTTCCTTACAACGGACTTGAAGCAAATTAGGCTCAACAGATGCAAAGGGCTTCTTCAGTGGTACGTGGTCAACGGGCATGAATCATTTTTAGAGATGAAAAAAATTTCTTCAAGATTTTTTTAATAAGAAAAATTTCAAAATCTACGTAAAAATCTTTGGAAGTTAGAAAAAATGCGTTCCAAGGGTTGAACGTAGTCACCATCCTGCTGCTGTAATGGTTTGGAGGGGAGTCTTCTGTGAAAAAAGGGTTAAAACTAGGTTGAAAGTGAACCAGTAGGATGCTTTAGAAGTTTGTCAATACTCCCTTCAATGGAGAGGACTGGATCTTCCAGCAGGCACACAAGGCAAAACCACACAGCAGTGGCTTAAAAGCAATTATCCTGTCCAGATTTAAATCATTAGGTTTCAGTTTGAGGTCAGAGTTGGTGAACATGGCCCTTTAATAATTCAAAGAAATTGGAGAGTGTCAAAAATAGAAACTGAGCGAATTGCGAATTTCTTCAACGCTCATGTACTATATAGATTGATAATCGTGATTTTAACAGACTTTGCTCCGAATATGTCGGTAATTTTGATAGTTATCTTAATAAAATTGCTTGGAAACATGTTCACGAGTATACTTTCATAATGGAAGACTTTGACCGTTTATCTTGATCAATAGTTGTGATATTTTAATTAAATTAAGTGGATTTCTTAACCATGATTGGATTTAGCACTGACTATGAATTGAATTGGTCTAGACCTTGCTCTGAAACTTATATAAACTTCACCCTAATATAATGACTTTCGATTATTTTGGCCTTTCCCTCCTATACCCAATATATAATATTAAGTTTAGCCTCTTTAGTTGATTTTTTATCACATTAGGTTGATTTTAACATAAATATTTCGAACACAAACCAAAATGTAGTAATGAAACTAAAAGAGTGAGTCACAAGTCTACATAAGTTAATAGATAGAAAATTTAAATGAAATCCAACATTTTTATACCCTGATCAGGGTATATTAAGTTTGCCACAATATATACATAAATGATCGGCTGAGTCGACTTAGCCATGTCCGTCCGTCTGTCTGTATATACGTGAAGTAGTCCCACAGTTTTTGAGATATCGATCTGAAAATTTTAACACGCCCTTTTCTCCCCGAAAAGCTGCTCATTTGTCGGAACTGCCGATATATAACATATAGCTTCCATACAAACTGAACGATCGGAATAAAGTGCTTGTATGGAAAACGTTTTCATTTGACGGGAAATTACCACGAAATTTGGCATGGGTTATTGCCCGAAGCAACTATGCATTCTCCAAAGAAATTGTTCAAATAACGAGCTTGCAAATAACGAGAGTATAAAATGTTCGGTGACCCCTAACTTAGGCCTTTGCTTATATTTTATATAACAACCTTAACACTTTTCTGTTGTGGAATATTTATTAAAAATTTCCATTGCCTATTGATGCATTAAAATGATTAAAACAATATAATATAATAATATTGTAATAATTGTTCTTAAATGCTGTATTCAAAGGCAAAAATATATTAAGATTCCTTAAAATGATCAATATTAATCAAATTGAAAAACTGAGTCAGAACACAAAAATTTAGTAATTTCATAAGATATGTACAAAATAATTCTATTATACAAATATAAATATTTAAATTGTAATAACGGCCATTGTTTGACTTTTCTTAATGTTCATTTTACGATTTCTGTCAAAAATTTGAGCTAGCTGTCTAATTCTTTGAACAGTACTTCCAAAAACTCAGGGTTGGTACCTGCGTTTTCAAGTAGCAAAATCTGGGTTATAGACAGCCCCAGTATATTGGCGACTATAATTCAATAACCTTACACAATTGCGATTTAAGGTTCGAGAATGAGGGCTGCAATGATTCCAGGCGGATATCAGAATTTTAAACTGCGTCGATTAATGTTATGATTGAACAAACTGCAAAATAAAGACTCGGGAAGAGTACGGTAAAGTTTGATAGAAAAATTCCACTGATTCTCCTACCCAATTTCATAATGGGATAGATTATAGTTGACATTATACTTGCGTTGGATACTATAAACAGATTTTGTTTTGCGGAAGACAACATATTAATATAATGGTCCGATATGGGCGGTTCCATCAAAATACATATACATATATTTTATATGGCCTCTGACGTTTCCTTCTTGGTGTTCCAAACTTCGTGACGAACTTAATATACCATGTTCAGGGTAAAATAAGGGTTGATAGTACTCGATAATACACACAAAATGGCAAATCCCAACTCAGTTGCCTTCGATAGTTAATCGATATCCATTTGTAATGTATAAGCTTGCGGTGCTCACTTCCCTGAAGCTGCCTTATGGAGCAGTAGATTTACTACTATGTATGTTGATCACATAATAAAATTAGACAATACCAAAAAGTTCTTATTTCTAAGATCATATCATTTTACAAACTGCGAAAATATCTAATGTCCCGCAATTACTCTGACACTTAAGCTAGATATATTATAGATATATATATATATATATATATATATATAGCTTGTATTTCAAATGTCACGTGTGTTTAATTTACGTTTTTGATTAGAGTTCTAGACTGGAAGAGATCTTTGCGTTAACAGTCGAGATTTCGCGTTGATGAAAGTGGCGGGAAAAAAACTAAGCGACTTAGCTCAGGTTGCGATTAACGGAATATATGTAACTGTGCTGTATTTGTCTCAAGTTTTTTTTTTAACTGTCTGAAAAGTGATTCTTTCTTAATAACGACTGTTTTATAATTTAGTAAGACCGGAAACCTATAATATTCTATAACTGATCTAGTCAGACACACAAATAATATGGGGCATGGAACTATTCTCCAATCATAAAAGTAATTAATTTTTATTAAAACTTATTTAGCCGCATAGAAATAGAAACTTTAGTTAAATTGCGAAACATTTTTTTCTCAAGACGAGATTACAGTCCGCTAAGCTTTAGTAGAAGGGGTTTGTTTACTTAATTTTCTAAAATTGCCAGTGTCTTTATTTTGCGCCAACTTGGCAATTAAGTCATATCCACTAACCCATAGATAAATTTCCGGTTTTATCTTTAGTTTTTTGCGATTTTGTTGAATTTTCTCGGTCAGGATATCGTATTTGCGAGCGCACACAAGATCACTGGTTCCCAAACCCAATGTAGGGCAGAAGTCCCCGCTACCATTACCGATGTACGCTACACGATCGTAGTTTATATTCAGAGCTTTCTGCATTAAAATGAATTCCTTCATTACACACCGCTTGCACAGGTTCTGTGGGCTGTATGGACATTCAGCGCAGTGATAACCACTTACAGTCACCTCTCCGCAATCATTGATCTCTGAAGGATTGCAATAAATGCCAGTGAAACATTGGAAAATTCCATGTTGTTCCAGCCAATCGACGATTATAATACGATAGCCATCACTGATCAAGATCAAGTCATAAGTGGGTTCGCATGACTTCCACAGATACTGTATCAGCTTTACCATTCCGGGTACGGGCGGTACGGCGCGTATAAATTTGCACATTGTATTCGCAGGGTAGCCCATTGAATGGAGTTCCTTAAATGCTTTGTTGGTATAATCAATCCAACCCTTTTTCTGCGTGTCGTACATATGAGGTCGCCGGTAATTCGGTATGAATTGGAAGAGTTGACGCATGGAGTTTACGCTAATGATGGTCTCATCGAAGTCGAAAATAATTAACTGGCGTGAAGGCATTTTTCTTGGTTTTCGTATATATTATTGATTAAAAAAGAGAATTATATGCACTGGAGAAAGAGAGAAAAAATTCTACGTAAATTTTGATTGTTTGTATTTTTATAAAACTCATATTGTTTATATTTTATGAATTGCTATATGTTTTGACGTTAGCATGTGGATGATTAAATCACGTTCACATGAACCTCATCAGAGTATCGAAGTATGTAGTTTCAAATTGATTTTGAATTGAGCAAGGCATTTGATCAAATTAGAATGTTTTAATTTGTTTTTAAATAATTTCCTAGTAATTTTTTTGATCATATTTAAGTAAGCTTTGAGTTAAATAAAAACTTCAACTATTAGGAGAATATTTATATTACTAGCACCAAACCTTTTTATTTCTAAGATGACATGTTCACTTAATGCCACTAATATAAGTGGAATATTCAGCATTAAATAGAAAAGAAGGCTGAAAATCTTGAAACCATGTCCACATTTGGAGTGTTTGATGTTAAACCACATTCTGATCAAGAAAATATGTTAATTTCGTTAAAATATACTCTTAACACATATTTAACAATATAAGCGGTTAAAGTCATACCGATAGTTCAAAGCTATATTAGGGACAGGCAAGGGCTTTAACTGCTTTCAGTCACTGTTGACATTAATCTAAAGTATTCTCTAAAATATTTCCAGATAACTCACATATTTCTTACCAATATACGAGTATTCTGCATTGTCAACTTTACACTAGAGCTTGCGAGCAAAGCCAGATTCTCTGTGATGATGTGTTTCATGATGGTAGAGTCCTCAGCTAAGTTGTCAAGGATCTCTACTGCGATCTCTACTCGTCGTCGTTTTCGCAAAATATTCAAGTCGTTGGTACGAGTCTAGCATTGACACGCTTCAAACCCAAAACATTAACAAACAAGTAAGGAAAAACTTTTCAAATCGCTTCTTAAGGATAGAAAGTGATCATTGAAGTGGTTTTTACAGTTTTCACCATAGATTCTTATTTGTTGATTCATTTTTTTGCGTTTGCTTTTTTGTTGTATATGCGTATGCGTTTTTATGTTTTGCTTATTCAAAGTATACATACAAGGAAGGGCTAAGTTCGGACGTAACCGAACATTTTAATACTCTCGCAAAGTCAAATAGTATACTCGTTTGAGATTTCTTTGTGGATTGACTGATATTTTCGGTAGAAGGTCAACTATAGGCACTGTGGTCCACATATTTAGTACTTCGGGGCTTAAACAGTTTTGGTTCGATTTAGACAATTTTTATCCACAAGGTGGCATAATTTAATCGCATTATTCACGCAAAGTTTTATCCTGATACAGTCATTGTTGCCTGATTTGCATAGTGGAAAGTGAAAGAATCAGATGGAATTTAAAATGGTGTTATATGGGAAGTAGGCGTGGTTGTAGTCCGATTTCGCACTATGACATAGAAACATGAAAAGAACGTTATGCACCGAATGTGGTTGAAATCGGTTAAGCAGATCCGAAGATATGGGTTTTTACCTAAAAGTGGGCTGTGCCACGCCCACTGTCTAATTTTGAACGCGGTTCCTATAAAGTCATCTCATACCATCCCAGAGATAAAATGTAATGTCTCTGGCGTGCTTAGTGCTTGATTTATCGCGCTTTTAGTAGTTTTTAACAGTACCGTTATATGAGGAGTGGGCGGAGTTGCCACCCGATTTCAACTATTTTCACACCGTCAATAGAAGTGCTAAAAACATTTGCTTGTAGGGAATTTTGTTATTATAGCATTAGCGGCTTAGGAGATATGCACATTAAACCTATTAGAGGCGGGACCACGCCCACTTAAAAAAAAAAATTTAACTGCAGACGCCCCTCCCTAATGTGATCCTGTGTACTAAATAACAGTCTTGTATCTTATTGCGGAGCTTAGTTATGGCAATTTATTTGTTTTTGATTAATGGCGTTTTGTGGGCGTGGCAGTGGTCCGATTAGGCATCTGCAATACCAACCGTCTCACGGTACCAAGAAACAGACGGACGGACGGACGGACAGACGGACGGACGGACGGACAGACAGACGGACGGACGGACGGACAGACGGACGGACGGACGGACAGACAGACGGACGGACGGACAGGCAGTCACCCGGATTTCAACTCGTCTCTTCATCCTGATCATTTATATATATATATATCCCTATATCTAACTCGATTAGTTTTAGGTGATACAAACAACCGTTAGGTGAATAAAACTATTATACTCTGTAGCAACAGGTTGCGAGAGTATAAAAATATTAAGCCGACCCATTAAAGATGTTGAGATCGTCTGCTAACTCTGATGCCAACCATACGTTTCCATAACTTTTTCGATGTCATCGTCATTAACGGAGGTGGATGGACGACTTGCATAAGGCCAGTTTGCCATGATTTTACGACCTTCTGTGAATGCTTTGTGTCACTCCAATACTTGTGTTCATGATAAAATAGACTCTCCAAAACATTCTGTGACATTTTCAACGAATCCGTAGCCGAGATTCCATTGGAAACACAAAATTTCAAACAAACTCGTTGTACAATTTTTTTCATGGTGAAAATCGCCAGACAATCGCTTCGTAAACAAAGATCAAAATTGAGATGAATTAGAAAAAAAAAGATTTTATCAATCTAGGAAAAACAATTTTATCGATTCATCTTAACCGCGCACTTTAAACGAACCAGTTCGAGTGAAATTTGTTCAGATGATATTTAAATAAAATCTTTTAAGTTTTTGCCAAATTTTATTTTCTTAATCGAAGTATTTAATATATACATAAATTCCCTCAGTTATAGTATGTTGCCCAACAGGATATCACCCGAACATAGTTGCGCTATTTCGAAATGAGAACCGTTTGGTACTAGGCGACTTTAGCCCGCACTACGATCTTTGACATTCTAACCTGCTAAATGACTATAGGAAAATAATCGACTCCGACATACCAAACCTAGTCCTGTATGAGTTAAGATGGATATGCGAAAATTTCCGTTTAAAGCTATCACGAATTTACTAATTTCCAAAACATTAGTGTTGACATTTGTTTTATAATTTCAATTTTATTAGATTTTAATTTCAGGTTTTGTTTTAGATAGTATAGTTTTATAGTATGTATACCTTTAATATGTCTCTATTCATATTTATATATACTTAATAATGATTATTATATGTACTTCTTTTGTTTCCGTTTTTTACTTTTTTTAATTTTTATGTTTTTTTTGTTTGTTTAATAAAATATTACATTTATTTAACTATATATGACTTATATTAAGATATTACAATTCATAGAGGCGCTGACTCTTTTTGTTTTTGTTTTTAACTTGCCTATGGTTGCTATTTATTTAGTTTGCTCAACATTTACTTATTTTTTGTTATTTGTTTTTAAACAGGCGAACAATTCAAACGCACAAACTTCTCAAATATTTGTCTAGATTGTTGCGCGTAAACTATTATTAAGATAGCATGAAACGTGAAAAGTACGATGATCAAAATTACTACAAAGACACGTGATATATTCAATAATGTTTTAGTAACTTAGGTCAATTTACAAGCTATTGTACCAGTATTTTCGAAACAAAATAATGGCTTATAAAATACTTTTGATAATTAACATTGTAATTTAAAAGACATTTTACGAAGTTTAATCACAAAAATGAATTTTTTTCGAGACTTCATTTCTATGAAACTAAAGAAGAATTTCATTGCACAAATGGAATGCAAAAATTTTGTTACGAGTAGAATAGGACAACAGATTGTGTGATTATTGACAAAATAAACAGATTATTAACTTTAAACAAAAATACTATACATAAATATGCATTTATAAATCAAATGTTAGTATATAAATATTTCATTACAGCGTAGGTGTATGCGATTTTTGAATGAAGCGCTTAAAATGTAATTGCCAAGAAATTTAACAATAAACATAAAGTAATTAACAAATAAAAATTAAGTATGCATTTATATTTAGGAAAGGAGTAACAAAGCAAGTTTAACCATCCGAAAAGTTAATATGTATATGATGGAACATATTTAGCAAGCTATCAGTTAACAATGTAAATATTAAAACCAGTGAAGGCGTTATCAAACGAAGTTGACAGAGATCTTTCGCTCGTGTTGCATAAGTGATTTCTGCGCCAGGGATGCCACTATGAATTGTACTACAACTGCAAGTACCGATTTCAAACGATTTCATTTTGAATTTTTTCTATTTATGAGAGGCACTTTCACCATATAAATAATATAGACGTATGCACATATACAGTATGTAGTGACCGGCAGCTGATCAGCAGCACAGACCAGGTTTTGTCTGTTATTCTATTTTTGATTTTTTGTTTGGCATTTGTCAACTTTTTCTCTGTGCAACGCTTCCAATGGTTGATTTTTTTTGCAGTCATGTGTACGCTATCACACATTGCTGTCTGTGCCCACGGCGCCTGTGAAGGAGAACGGTTGTGCATTGTTCACAATGCTGGCGCGATCGTTCGATGTGACGCCCGTGGGTGTGCCCGCGAAGCCGGAATTTACAGCAGCTTGGCGCATTTCGTCGGCGGAAGCCCTGAGACGAAAAAAAATGCAATTAAAAATCATACGCAAATAATTAGATACATACATACATATGTATAAAAAGTATTTTAACTAAAACATGCACTCAATTGAAGAAATTTTATAAATTTATTTTGATATTTTTACTAAACACTGATTACGATTACGAAAAAAGGACAATAAAAATGCAATATACAAAATTGTATATATGGGTCATTTCATCGAAAATTTACATTCAAACATTTTTAACGTTCAAAACCTTTTTTTTTTTTATCTTTGAGGCAAAATATTCGGCACGTAAATATATTTTTATTTTGACCCAATATGAACAGGGTTGCAAATAATGCATTAAAAAATAATTGAATTAATTTTTTTTTTTTTTTTAATCCCAAACAAAATTTTTACTCCGCATACTGGATTTAAAAAAAAATTTATTCCACATACCGGATTAAAAAATAAAAAAATTCAATATTAAGCATATAATTAACAATTAAAAGATTTTTTAGAATTAACATATTTTCAAGTTCATCAAATCAAAAAGTTATACTTTCAATGTTTAATCCCAACATCGAGATTAAAAAATTAATATCTAATTTGTAATCCCAACATCGGGACTAAAAAATAAGAATATAATTTTTAATCCCTAATTTTTTAATTTAAAAATTCGCAACCCTGAATATAAAACATTTTTAAAATATAAACGCTCGAAAGTATAGTTTAGTTAATAAATTATAAATTTCGGAGTGGACTTTACAGAATTGTCAATATGAAACTATGTCTTTCGCGTTTGTGACTAGCGCAGTGAGATTTTTTCAACGCGCGCAGCGCGAATAGTAACGGCATGTGGGATCGAAAGGCTTCGCAGCAATAGTTGAGGATTAAAAATTTATTGCGGACGGAGTGTTTAACGGTCTATTCTCAAACTTATACAGTCGTGACAGAAGAGTCTAATAGTTCCAAACTGAAAAACAAAATTATTTGTTTGTAAAAATGTACCTTTTGTTTATAAAAAAAGTCGAAAAAAAGCAACGAATATCTCATTGGAAAGCTGAGAAAACATCGTCAACAATAGGCCGTCTAGTTATTTTTATAACGACTTTAAAATTCATAACTAAAAATTTTTCATATTAAATCGAAATAAAAATATACGTGTCCAATATTTTGCCTCAAAGAACACAAAAATAAATGTTTTGTACGAAAAAAATTTTTGATTGTAAATTTTCAATGAAATGACCTATATACAAAACAGAAAATGAAAAGCTCTTAACTGTCATAGAGGATAATATAGACATATGACTAAAAAAATTATAGCCAAAAATAATTAGCGGGAAGTCCGGATTATGCTCTGGAAAAACATCTGAAAATAAATGTACTCTTCATTTTCTAGTTATTTTTTCAGCGGTTTTTTATGCTTGCAATACTTTCTCAGCTTTACAAAGTTTTCTAGGTCTAGCAAATATGTATTAACTATGAAAAGAGGAGAAATAAAAAGTGGTCCAAGGGTTAATGAATTTTTTGGTATTATAAGTAAAGAAAAAATTTTGTCATTTTATGTTTATAATTTGGGAATAAGGATGTAAGATTATGTATATATTTATATTCTGATTATCATTATTGATTGAATCTGTTGATTTGTTAGTATTCTCTTAGTTTATCTTCAACCTAATGTTGTTTATATAAGATTGTTGGTTATTGGATCGTCTAAATGTAGGCAATGATTTTTATTTTTTCATACTGATGTATTGTAAAGATAATCTAAAAACTTCACGATTTTAAAATAACGAAAACAAAAAAAACGGTAATTTCGGTTGAACCTAAGCTATACCCTCCACAAATACAAAAGGTTCCTTACAAGAACTTGATTCCGATCGTTCAGCTTGTATGGCAGTTATATGCTATAGTGATCCGATCTGACCAATCTCTTCCGAGATTGCATTATTGCCTTAGACAATAACCCACGCCAAATTTAGTCCAGATATCTCGTCAAATGAAAAAGTTTTCCATGCAAGCCCTTCATTCCGAACGTTCAGTTTGTATGGCAGCTATATGCTATAGTGGTACGATATTGGCGGTTCCGGCACATGAGCGGTTTCTTGGTGAGAAAAAGACGTATGCAAAATTTCAGATCGATATCTTAAAAACTGAGGGACAAGTTCGCGTATATAAAGACAGACGGAAACAGACGGTCATGGCTAAATCGACTCAGCTCGTCATACTGAAAATTATGTATATATTTTATAGAGCCTCCGACGTTTTCTTCTGGGTGTTACAAACTACGTGGCAAATTTAATATACCCTCTTCAGGGTATAAAAATAAAACACTTAATATCTAGAGCACTAACTAAACCACTTCCATACTTCCATATATAATATTTAACAGGAAATTATGAATTTCTCTTAAATATTTTTCTTATTACTAATTTTAAAATACAAAGGACGATAGAATATAAGACGGTGACATGGTGTCATAAAACAAAATTAATTGTCAAAATTTCTTAGTAATTGTAAAGATGTTTTCCACTTCATTTGTTCATGATGTCACGAACTAAATATTTTTCTGTAAAAAGCACTAAATAAATAACGGAAAGAAGTTTTTGTAATGTCTAATTCTATCAATTACAGTTATGATATTGCAAGAGCTGCTGTTTTTTAGAAATTAAGAGCGTGCAAAAAAGATTTGCATTATTTACATACTTATTTATGATACTGATAGTAAAATTATAAATAAAAATATGTATATATATACTTTCATAAAACTATAAATCAAAAATAATAAAGAATTTGGTAACATTTACAGTAGTACAGTGGTAAGTAATCAAATATTACAAGTATTGTGTAAAACTACAATAAAAAACTACAGTTTTTATAAACAAAATTGCGATAGTTGCCTTTTAGTCTGACAAATTGTTGACCGTTACGTAGATATCGCTGACATCTTCTATTGATGATTTGTAAAATTTCTGTATTTAAGTGTTTTTGTGTGGTGTAAATTTGGCAGTAAATTCAACATCCTGTTCTGTATGCGCAACTGTGCACCGCCAGCTTTTGTTTGACTACCAAGTGCTTTTTACGCTGTTCTTGGGCGTTGCATGCTGCTTTCCCAGGACTAAAGCAAATCTTAATAATTTTTATTGAGTTTCAATGCTTGGGTCTTTGAATATTTATGTCAAAGCAAATCTTCACTAACTATTTTGTTGAATATTATTTAATTGCTATATTACGAAACTTTTTTTATGAACATTTTAGTAAACACAACTAGATATTTGATTAAATAGTATTTGGAAACTCAAACGAAAATAAAAATGCATAGTTTTTTTATCATTATTAACATTTTTAAAGTAAGTAAGTAAATTTGATTGCCTTTATTGGCTTACAGGCGTATAATTTTTTGAAAAAGGCTTATTTGAAAATTTTTGACACACAAGTTAGTTTATAACTCAGTTATGTAAAATATTTTATTTAATATTAAAATTCATTTGATTAAACTAAAATATATATGCAAAAAGAGTGAAAATTTTTTCCGAAAGAACAAACAAAGAATTAATTTAAAACTTTAATTGTAAATAAGCGATTATGACGAAATAATATATGCCAAAATTCACTCACAAAAATACCGTTGACCAATTTATTAAAGTTTAGTTACCTTTAATTGCGTTTAAACTTATGCATATATGTAACTACATACATGTCTATTTCCATACAGCAATATTTACCTATATTCGCATATAAAAGTATGGTCTGCATGAATAACGGCATCGTTTAAATTTTTTTACGAAACTATCACAAAAATTTTGTTTTCAAAAATTTACAGCTGCTTCAAAATATAATATTTGAAAATCGAGTTAAAATATTTTTCTAACACACATCAATCAATTGTACTTTTCACTTTTAATTTATTTATAATTTACAATACTTCAATATTTGCTTTTATTGATAAGTTTATGAACAATACACCAAAACTTTAAAACGCTTTTCTAAGTAACGACGCAAATTTTTAGCACTATAATATTAATATTCCTCTTATCTTTTGTTTACATATTAGTTTTGCTTTTATTTTCATTTATATTGTGTGCTATGTATGTACAGCATCATTACAGATGTACTCTTTTATTGCTGCTTTCGGAGATCATTCAGTAGGCGCAGATATAGCAATAACAACAACAATTTTATTTAAATTGATCTTCCTCAACTTTGGTAAATATGTTTATATAACAATTATTATTTATAAATGGAATGTTGTTGTCAACTGAGTATCATATTCAAGGTAATAATGGTTTTGTATTAACTACGAATGTACATACATACATATGTAAATTATATGCTTTTGTGTTTGTATCGCTTAACTTTAAGAGAACCAAAAAAAAACCTTACTTGCTGCAAATTTTCAGTTTATGCTGTTGTACATTTGTTTTATTTCGCTACACTACACTACCCTTTAATTTAAGTAAATTGTTCAGCTGGTGGGGTAAGTGACTGTTTGAATTTCTTAACTCCGTGTCTCAATAGTTGCGGGTTTCAAAGGAAACGCCACAAGTATTGGCAAACTAAAGGAAATATTTTAGAGACTGATTTGCTATGCATAACAATAGCAGCATGCACTAATGAGCTTTCTAAGTTAAGTTGGAACGTATTGTTTATGTGGGGCGCCAGACATCTGGATCCTCCATTAGTGTGATATGTTGGTCGGTGCCCATTTGCATTTGGCCCCCGTCTGGTGGCATTTGTGTAGGCGATGTTGCGGCTGCAGCCATATCCTCGCGCGATGCTCTAAAGCGCATTCGTTGTTGCATATAAAAAATTTAGTTGAGCAATATTTAAACATAGGGCATATATAAGGACAAGAAACGAATTGTTTGCGACAAAATAAAACAAGGACATTTAATAAGAAATAGAAATAAAGGAATAGAGAACAAAGAGAAACAAACATGTAATTAGTTGATTAGCGCTTAAGGATTTGTTTAGAAGTGTCGTACCTAATAGCGAGGGCTTAAGCAGTATGTTACATTTCAGTTTACCCTTTAACCTATTTTTTTGGTTACTAACTTTTACGAGCCACTAAACATATATTTGTATTACATTTGTATTATTTCAATATATTTTTCTTTCAAGTTTGGAATCGTAATAAGTTAGAATAAAAATGTAATATCAGTGGACAGATGATTTCGAAAGACACCGTGAACCCTTTGATTTCTTTACAAATTAAAAATAGTTGAAAGTGCTACAAACCCAGTAGAAACAATTAAGGAAGTTCTAGGTTCGGGTGTAACCGAACATTTTATACTCTTGCAACTTGGATGGATCAAAGCCAGGGATATACCTTCAGGTGTTCCAATTTCCAGCCGGAAGTTCGAAAATATTTCTATTAGGTATATGGGGACTGAGGGAATTTTTGATCCGATTCAACCTAATTTTGACATATAGGCATACTATTATCTTTTCGATTGTTGGTTGTTTGTATCACCTAAAACTAAGCGAGGTAGATATAGGGTTATATATATATAGATGATCAGGATGAAGAGACGAGTTGAAATCCGGGTGACTTTCTGTCCGTTCGTGCAAGCTGTACCTTAAGTAAAAATTGAGATATCTTTATGAAACTTGGTACACATGTTTCTTGGTACCGTAAGACGGTTGGTATTGCAGATGGGCGTAATCGGACCACTGCCACGTCTACAAATTTGCTATAACTAAGCTCCACAATAAGATACAAGACTGTTATTTGGTATACAGGATCACATTAGGGAGGGGCATCTGCACATTAAAAATATTTTAAGTGGGCGTGGTGCCGCCCCCTAATAGGTTTAATGTGCATATCTCCTAAACCGCTCGTCTTTTTTTGCCAAGGAACACGTGTACCAAGTTTCATTAAGATACAGTCGTTTGCAGAGACGGACAGACAGACAGTCACTCGTATTTTAACTCGTCTCATCATCCTGATCATTGAATTCTAATCTGTAATTTATTTTCATTGTACAGTAATGTTTACAATTTTACCATGGAAAGATATACGCAAGAACAACGTTTACAAATTATTCAATTTTATTATTATTAAAATAATAGTTCTCCAGCTACAACTTTTAGTGCGCTTTTGCCATTTTATGGTCGCAATAATCGTCCACCCCTCAAGTTGAAAATGTTCAAGTACCAATAGGATAAAGAACCGAAGAAGTAATGAAAATATTACTGCCGTTCTGGCAAGTGTTAAAGAAGACCGCAATTTGTCGATTCCAAGACGTTCTCAAGAATGGGGACTGTTTCAAACCACAACCTAGCGGATTTTAAGAAAAAATTTGGGCTTGCATCCGTATAAAATTGTTCTCACTCAAGAACTGAAGCTATTGGACCACCGTAAACGTCCTGAATCTGCTGATTTTGCCGTGGACCAACCTGAAAACTATAACGATTTTTTTAAGAAAATCATCATCTGAGTGGTGCGTTAAATAAAAAAACTGTCGATTCTGGTGCAATTCACAAATTATTAATGAACAAATATTACATTCACCTAACTTGACAGTTTGGTGTGGTTTTTAGTCTGGTGAAATCATCGAGCCGTACTTATTTTGAAATGAAGTTGGTGACAACGTTACTGTCAATGAAGAGCAGTATAGATCGATAATAACCAACTTTTTATGGCAGAAACTGGAAGAAGTTGACCTTGACAACATTTGGTTCCAACAAGACGGGACTACACGCCTCACAGTACGTGCAACAACCGAATTATTACGAGAAAAGTTTGGAGACTCGATAATTTCAACAAATTGAACATTGAATGGCCTCCAAGAAGTTGTGATTTAACACCATTAGACTACTTCTTGTGGGGTTATTTGAAGTCATTGGTCTTTAGCAATAAACCCGACTCTCTTCAAGCTTTAGAAGTCAATATTGAACGTGCTATTCATGACATACGACTTGATTTAGTGGAAAAAGTACTCGTAAATTGGCTTCATCGAATTCGTTCTTGCAAAAGAAGTTGTTGTTGTTGTAACGGTTATCTAGTCCCCGCTTGGGTGGTAAATTTCAGTTTGGTTGTCATCAAGATCATCTAACGGGAGGACCAGGAAACGAGCTGTTTCGACGGGGTCGGACCTTAGGGAAATGGGTGTTAGATGAGTGGGGTTCGTTGGTCAGGTCATATATTTGGTATGTCTGGGTCGATTCTGGATAAATAGGTGTTTAACCTGCTACAGTATCCAGAACGAAGTTGTGCAAGGGTCATTCTAGATTGACGTGGCAACTCGAGCTCTACGTCTGCGATGGGTGGTGGTTTGACTTCAAGTATGCCATTCACTGTGGGTGAGTCGGTGAAGGTGTCTATGGCTCCACTTTGAATGGCGTCCAGTGCGTGTCTAAGGTTCATTGCGTCCGAAGTCTGGTCGGCGTACTGTCCAATGTCGTCGACGTAATCAAGGACCTCTTGATGTTCCTAGGAGGCGGTTCCGCTTCAAGCAGACGACTGCAAAGGTGGTTTCTACGAAAACAGCCCAGCAAAAACTGCTTGGAGAGGAGCTCGTTATGTTCCTTGACCGGAAGCATACGGGCCTGCCTATGTACGTGTTCGATTGGGGACATCAAGAGGCGTCCCGTGATAGTCCGGAGTGCAGTGTTTTGACATGCTTCCTTCCTCGTCTGCGGTGCACTACATCCAAGCGGCCGGCCGATTGCCTTGTAAGTTCCCAACAACGTTTCTTTGTATTTTCCTCAAGAGCTGCCGGCAAGCGATATGAGGATTTTGTTGCAAAAGAAGCCATGGACACAAAATCACATTAAATAAAAAACATTTGAATTTCCTTAACAATTAGTGTGTTTTTTTTTTAGAAGAAATCATACCACTCTCAATGGGTACCCCTGTAATATAACCCTATATCTATCCCCATTATTTTTAAGTGATACAAACAACTGTTAAATGAACAAAACTATTATACTCTCTAGCAACATGTTGCATGAACATCCCAGTTATAAAAGAAAATAAATAAAATAAAGTCCAGTTAGTGCACCATATATAAATCAAAGAGAATTTTGATGAACTTAGATTTTATAATATTATAGGAGATTAACTACTAAAATACGGAAAGATTCATAAACCGATTGTTAAATAAACAATATTGAAATTTTACAATACATGGCGCGACACATATTCAAATAAAAACATATATCATATTACAACATTGTTACCACTCCAAACTTGAATTTCCTAACACATAGCTGTAGCCTGCATACTAATAAATATTTTCATTACTAGCTCTAACAGGGCACACAATTTTCCTGTTAAAAATTGCATTACTTACTTTTTTCCCAATCCCATTAAACCATATATCACGCCAGTTCCGAACACAAGACCACATGCGAAAATACTACCCAGTCCTGGGCACAAAATTATGGGGGGTATAGCAATCCTGGGGAAAATAAAATATCATAAGTGAAATCTCAAATAAAATATTTATCTAATACTTACGCGCAATAGAAGGCAGCACGATTCCATAATGGACGTGCATCTACTTTATTTGATATATCGTTTACAAACTCTATACAGAAAAAACAACAAGGCGCTTCCAGTGCCATCACTACAAAACCGACCACCATTTGTATGATACCCGAGATAAGGCAGGAAACGTTGAGTAGCAGAATGCCGACGACATTCCATAGTCCAAATAGTATGCAGACTATAGACGGAAATAACAATGTATTGTATATATAACTGAATTTAAAACATGGAAAAATATTTCTAATTTAAAATAATATGTGTGTGTATATTATGTTCATATATAATATAAAGTGATTCGTTTAACTATTTTCACCGCATATGGGTCTACGCAACCGCAGTTCGTTACAACATGAACGTAACCGTATAAACTCGCTTCTCTATTCGGCCAAAAACTGTTCACTAGGCAGCTTTCCCATAACTATTTGCGGTATGTTTTCGGCCGCTATAACACTCATCATTACTTAATTATAAAGTTAAAAGTTTTTGAACCAAGTCCTCAAAATCAACATAATTTTGATTATTAGCTGTTCAATGTTTACGAGTATTATATGTATACTAAAAATTGGTTGATACTAAGCAACCATGACGTGACTCATTTATTTGATGTTTGTTGATAGTGAAACGATCGTACGAATTATTATTTACGATGCTGGTTTTATTTCAGGCTGACAACATAAGACAGTAACGGTGCATGTAACGTGTAATTAGTTGTAGCGATGATGAAGAAAAGTTGCATTTGATTTGTTGACTTATTAGGCGCACATACTCCCCAACCCACACCCGTACATTACAAAACAAAACTATAACAAAATAACGTCAACCAATGGTAACGCACCAACTAAACAAACCCATCGCCGTACGAATGAACATACTGAACGCCAATATTAAGAGTTCACTCACAGTAAAGCATTGGAACCGGTTTACTATTATGCCTTGTATCGCCATACTATTGCTACTGTTTTTTTGCAGGTTTTTTACTCAAGCTTTGTAAAACAAACCGTATTGATAAAACAAAAATCAAAAGCCGGCTTCATCTCTGTTTATAGTAATGAAGTCTAAGCTAGCACCGTAATTTATTTGAATGCAAGTAAGCATGAATGTTGGTTACCCAGAAGCCTTACAATCATAATAAAACATATGATTAGTTAGGAATACAAGTATAATGTAGAAATAAAAGAGAAAAAAAAGTAATGATCAAGATAAAATGGAATCTAATGCGAAATAAGATGAGTCAGCAGACAAATAAAAGTATTTATCTGATTTCTTGATTCAACCGTATGATATGGATTATACATTTATGGCGTTTTCTTGTAATCATTGATAATTATTTTGTTATCAGTTATCTTTGCGCATGCACATGCTTCAAGTGAAATACTTACATTTGTATATACATAAATATAGGTATGAAAACGGTTTGCTTTCATTCGTTAAAAGTAAAAAAGTTTTTTTGGAGAAGACAGGAAAATGTAAAACGAAAGTAAAAATCGTGCATTTACGTACATATTTAGATATGAAAGCAATTCGAACTATATTTATTAAATGAGTGAATGTTAAATGATGTTGAAGTTTTAGTTATTTTAAGTTAATATTTATTGATTTATAAACATGAAATAACTGAAATATTCTTTGAGTTAGGCAATTTTTGAGATAAGCTATATACCACTGACGAAACTACATATATCAAGGATGTACTTATTTTCATTCATATTAACTTTTTCGGGCCAATTATACATTTTAAAGCAGTTAAGAAGGGGAAGTACCTTACACAAATATCGTGGGCGGAACTTAATAAACTACAAGGTATGTTAGGGAATTGTGGTTTAAACATTAAAATTATAAAAAGTTATGCGTATCAATATAAAAAAAGATCGACCCATAAGCTCTAAGAGACAATAATTTTCACAATATATTCAATTAAGGAGAGTAAATGTCAAAAAGCGTGACATTTCGAAAAAAAAATTTTTTTTTTTTAATTTTTGCATATATAATTAAATGTAATATACTAAAATTTTAAATTAATATTTCAAAATATAGTTATCAATAGCCAATGTAGTCAATCAGTTTCAATTGTACAACTTATTAGGAATATTGTCTAAAATTTCAAGCCGATCCGAGCAAAATTTCCAGATGTATACTCGTTTAAAGCTCCTAGTTACGTACGACTCGACGCGTTTTTCTCAAAACTCCCTTTTTTGATGTCGGTAGTCAAAGTTTCTCGATAACTTATGAACCGATCGTCGGGAAAATTCGCGTACATCTTTTAAACATGTTTGACTACTGCTTCATTGCATTTACAATTCAATTGAGAGGGTAATACATGGCCAAATTTAGTTCAAAAGTGCATATGATCAAGCAGTAGCTATACTTACCTACTAAAAGAAAAACTATGTTTTTTGATTTCAGATAAAAATTACCTAAGTTACAGTGACTACCGAGAGGACACTTTTCTGCCGCTGACGTTAGTTAAGGCGCTGTTAACAGCTGAATTTACATTATTTTTTATTGCAAATTTTTGTACATGATGTAGACATTATATACACATAGTACGTGTATCAAAAAAAAAAAAATAATACTAATGTTGTAGATTCAAAAAAAAAATCCAGAAAAACTACCTTATTTTAAGTTACAAGACCCACGTAGTCCCCTAAGCACGTTTTCTCAAATCTACATTTTTCCTATTGATTGCAGTTGTAACTCGAAAACAAATTCTTCGATCGTTTCGATTTTTCTTTGTACAATTACCTTCCAGTTTTTCGGTTTTTTGTTTGAGCCACGATGAAGACCGTAAACACTACAGTAGTATTTTTTGCTAAATTTTTTTTTTGTATATACATTAATTATTCATTATCATATATAATTTTTTCAAGCGTTTTATGCAGTAGTTTTCTTTAAAAAAATTTACAAAAAAAAAACTTTTTTTCATCCGATCATACTACGTGTGAACTTTAACCATTGCCTTAACTTTATTACTATCGTATCAGTCTTAAGGAATATTGCATGTATATAATTAAAAAATATTTATGATTATGCATTGTTCATGTGATAACAAATATGAAAATGCATTTGTTGTTGAAAGCTGCATTCTATAATATAAATGTTTAAAATAAAACATTGTAGTCGAAACTTTGGGTCGTTACTTCGTATTTTTATATTTTACGCAAGTAAAATATATTTTAATTTAGTAATTATATCAAAAATATGTCCCTAACATTAAAGTTAGCTCTATGTTTACTATGAATTTACATATTATTTGCAACTTGTTTAATCGAATCGGAACAGTTAAATAATTCACATGAAATATATGGCTCTTACTATGATGATATTCGTATAATATATGCACATACATACATATTTGCTTCTTCAAAAACTTGAGTGATTAACAACTGGAAAACATCTTACAATTCATTTGTATGCGATAACATTTCTAGATATGCATCAGATGCCTAATGTTATAAGCCATGGTTTTAAAAATATGTATACACACTTGTGTGTATATACATATGTTTTAGTACCCGTATATTTATATTGTAGAAATACAACAAAAATTACAAAGCTACAATATTTTGTTGCAATACATAATATTTATTAGTTGTAAACGTGACAGTGAATGTGTGATCGAACGTCACTACCATACATCATGCTTTGCTCCTATTGATACAGATTCTTTTATCAATGCCAGTAAGCCTCTTGTAGCGAGTATGTGCATTTGCTTTTAAATATGAATACACACAGAAATACAACATAAGTAAGGGGTGCACAATCAACTCCCTAGATTTCTGATACTTATGAGCACACAAGTATACAAATGCCATGCAAACCAATGAACAAAGATAACGGTTAATAATTGCATACAGCTTTGTCTATCGAAGGTGGTCGGCTTTGAAAAATCGATTGAAAAGCTACGCATTCTGACACTATTTGACAGTAAAAAGAGGAACATAAAAACATAGAAAACAGCTGCGATATTAAATACGACCTCCTAAATGATTTGTGCAGTTTTCAAGTATTAAATTAGTAAAATCACATGTGTGCTCAATGATTTACTTACAGAAAGCTCCAACAATACCCAATAATCTTCCACCATACTTCATGTACCATGGTGCATCTATGCCGCCCATTTGTTCTGCTTGATTCGGCCGCGCCAACAAACCTGTGATTTTCTCCGCAAAGGACTGCATATTCAATTTGGTTACATGTTATGAAATGAAAACAAAAATTTAGCTACGATAGTGTCAACAAGATATGTAGAAAAGATATGCGAGGAAAACATTGCGAAACGAATAAAAAAAATTATCATTGCATCGACTTTTCCAATTGGACTATTCGTTTAGCCTTTATTGGTGAAGACAACAAAGTTAGTTTTCCTGTGCGCTGTTTTATTACTCGCATTCTTGATTTTATTACCATTTTGTTAGATTTATATGTCACACACTATCTAAAGTCTATTGAAATTTAACATACACTTCCTTTTTAAATTACACTTATCGCAATTGCATACGAACACAATAAACTTTTTCCTAGACGATGAACAAAACTCTGTGTTTCTTTCTGCCAACAGTCACATAAGTAACGAGCAATTTGACACATCAAAAAAGAAGCAGCGAATAAAAAATGACTGACAATAAAATGACGAGTGAAAGAAATAGTCGGAAGTTTACAGTGTTGTAGGCTTTAGTTTATATTTGAACATTATTAAAAAATTACTTAGTACAAACGCGCTTAGCTACTTTATTTTATTGGCTAACAGAAAATATACTTTCTGCTTTATTCTCTAAACCATAAACTTCATTCCTGTAAAGTTATCTTTTTAGAGGCTAATTTTTAAGTCTTATAGCTCAAGCAGTCACCGACATTACTCCCTTCCGTACGTCAGCTGACACCTATCTTATGAGAGCGCAATCAAGGATGACATGATGCGAGACTCTCATTTTCCCCAATTTTACTGTTATTCTCTTTCCCGGATTTTTAAGATTAGGGAATTTTGAACAGCTGATATCAAAAAAGGTGGGATGCCAGAAATAAACACGAAAAATAGCTAACAAAAGCAGTGCGAAACGAAATTTCAAGGAACGTACAACTAAAGTTTTTTTGCTAATTTAATTTAAAACGTTTATCATAAAACCATGATATTTTATTACGACTTGTATTGTTTCTTTGTTATAATTTTTTTATTTATATATAATATTTTAACGTTTATTGATGTTTTAAAAGTTTTATAATATGAATACACGTATTAAGGGATGTATATGCGTTATATAGGCCTATTCAGGAACCGAGCACCTAAAAATAATAATTAAATGCAAAATACCCAATCCTTTTTCTTTTGACCGTAGCATGATTGACAAATGTTATAAAAAATGCGAGTTTTGACAGCTCTCTCTCGAATCAAAGAGTTTCGCATCATTTCATCCTTGGCGCAATGTAAATGAACACTCACCACCCCTTCTACCGACCGCTTCAACAGACCGCGCATTAGGATATCCGCAAAAATCGGATTTTTCCCGTAGAAATGAGTGAGCTGAGAGTGGGAGAGCAATCTCTTGCAACGCAGGGTTGTCAATCTCAATATTTTGTAGAAATTAAAAAATAAACTTGAATGTATTTGAAATATTCTTAAAATAACTCAAAATCACAGTCGAATACTTTTATTTATAAATAGGTAAACTATTTTTAATAGCTGGATTTTAGTGAGCTTTTACATTATGAAACAGTATAACTAAAAAACTATATGTGTGCAAAATCGTGTATACAAATTGAACAATGGCAAAATTGGTGAAATTGAAAAAAAAAGAGAACAACTGAATTCTACGTTGCCACTACGGGCATAACTTTTGACAAATTTGGTTTAATACGGGCGGTATGTACGGAAGGGAGAAATGTCGGTGACTGTTTGGGCTATTATTCAAAAATATGATAATATTGTGACGAACACGGATGATAGAACAAAATCGAATCGAAGATAAATTGCCAGATTCAACTAGCCAGCGAATTTCGTAGTTGCCAGAATGTGGTAATGGCGAAGTTTTGTTATAGATCTACTCCATAAGGGCTGCCGGATTATGCAAGAGCAATTGAGATATAAGTAAGAAGTTATAAAATCGGGTAATGAGTAGTTAAGCGTTATATATATACCCTCTACCCTTCACCTGAAACTTCAGTTAGTGACCGACGCAAAACCGTAGACCGAACTTGTTGATACGACCTAGCGTATGAGAGCGTAATGTAAATGAGCACTTACCACCACTTGTACCGTCCGCTTTTACCGGCCGTACCGTGGGATATCCGCGAAAATTGAATTTTTTCCGTAGAAACGAGTTAGCTGATTGCTCTCTTACAATGCAACTCTCCATATTTTGTAGTAATAAAAAAATAAACTTGTGTATATGTGAAATATTCTTGAACTAACTCAAAATCACAGTCGAATACTTTTATTTAAAAATAGGTAGACTAGTTTTAATAGTTGGATTTTAGTTTTGAACTTTTACATTATCAAAAATTAAAACTTAAAAGCTAACGCTTAAAATCATGTATACATGTGGAATAATGGCAATATTGCTCAAATGAAAACAGAAGAGAACTGATTTCTACATTGTCACTACGGGTGCTTTTGACAAAAGGTCGGTCACTAACTGAAGAATAAGTCTGATCGTCTCGATTAGACATTTTTGCGGTACCGAACGGTGCAAGCCGTTCCCGATGAACTACCCTTATTTTTTTTCCTAGGTCTTCCAATTGTCTATATGCACTACATTGTTGATTCGTTTAATGACCTGGTATGGTCCTTTCCAACTACACTGTAATTTGGTAGACAGCGCTTTCTTTCGCTGTGAGTTATATAACAATACCCAATCTCTTTCAATAAAACCAGAGAATGTTAATTAATAGAGAAGGAGCAAATGTTAGCTGTTCTAAAATGTTAATTACGATGAGGGAACATCGAAACGCACAAGTTCGAAAAAAATATTTTACCATCCTGTCAATTTACGCAAAGAACTACACCACTCTATGAGCAAAATGTATGTATATACAATACATACGCACAGATGTTCTTTGATATGCGCATAAACAAAAATTGAAATAATAAAAACGAAAGTAATTGACTTCCGACAAGAAAATATAAATAATTAGGGAAATAATATTAGAATAGAATTCAAATATCATTTAATAAAAAAGAGTTATAAAAATAAAAAAAGACTATATAAAAATATGATAGAATTTGAACTTAGGCAAAATATTTCACGTTGCAAGTCTGCTATACAAGCAGCACCACAGACAACATTTAAGCCACTTTGTCTAATCTGTGAACTCAAACAGCTATTGTTGTTTACTTGCTTCAATGTTCATATGTCTATATGTGAATATTCTTGAAATTGCCTTCCTTCATTCGCATGTCCAAATATATTTGCATATACATATGTACACATATGGTTTTCATATAGAATTCCTACGCATATGCGAAATTAAGATGGTAAAATGAATGAAGGAATGAAATTGAATTTGAATGGTTTCAGTAAAACGAAAATCAATCAATCAATTTTACAATTTGACTGTGACACTGAAAATCCTAACATTCCCCTCGCATTTGTATGTTGCCCACAAGCTGCTTCCTCAGAAATTGAAGAATTTGTCTGGTGTTCCCTTCAGAAAGGAGAATTGGCAACATGCCTATTAGCGAGTTAAAATAATATTTTAATTTTATTCATATTATGCACTATATATGGCATTAAATTATAAAATTGCCATTCATATGAAATCATTAACTACTTCTATATATTCTAAGCACAGTCCATAGTACTTTTATATGTTTACTTATTATCATTATGTTATAGTTTGTCGATTTAGCCCATTTTATCTAAATACGACGCTAGGAAAATGCAGCCCAATCGGTAATCGCAATATTTCAAAAGAGCATAAGTCAACTTTCAATAGCAAACCACTGCAAAAAGGACAAACGAGACAACATAGCCGACCGACATTGTCGTAAAATTGTCCATTTTTGTATGTTTGTCGACAAAGTCCTCATTTGGTTTTTTTCAACAACACAATGTCTGCGCGAACTCGCCGTTATTTCGTTGGCTTGCCACTATACACAGAGGCGTTCTAACTGAGGGTTTTTAGTATATTATTATGTTGCTTAATTTCTATTGAAAAATGCTGATGCATTTATGAATTATTTTCGTAATATAATATATATTATATATATATATAAATACAAATAAATTCATACCTCGTTTTTAAAATAAATTCGATTAATAAAATCTATCTGAAATAATTATGTGGCAGTGCGCCCCTGACCCCTTCTTGCTTGCGATCGTTCAACTTGATTCACGCAAAAAGCAAAAAGTGTTGACAAAAGTCATTGCTTGTGAGGGGCAAGAAGAAGCAAGCATCAGCGTACGTGTATTTAAGAATGTATGTGTGATTATCACATTTGTGTAAATACGCGTAATAAGGAAATATTCAATAAACCTAAACATATGAACAATTTTTCCTGATATATTTTAATTATATCAGAAAGTAAAATATGCTATTAAAGAAATTGAATTATGATATGCTTAGATTCCAATTAATAAAATAAAAAATTAAATAAAATTTAATTTACATGAGTTCTAGGATTCGAACTTATATGCTCGTATTCGGAATGAGCTTAACTCCTTCACGCTTACGACCTCAGCCACCTCAAAAGTGGAAACGCGGCCGCTTAACCACCGTTTTATTGTTACCCTTTGCTCAATAAGCAATAGCTCACGCAACGCACATACATAAGTTGGAAAAATAGCCTATTAAATGTTTATTTTATTATATTATGAATTCTGAGGTTTTTACCGGTAATACAGATTTTTAATTCAGAAGGCTTTTCATAATTATAAATTTGTCATATCATAGAAATTGAAAACATAAATCTAAATAGGTATGCGCAACGATTTTTCATATAGGAATATTCGTTGTGTCTATTTATAGCATTTCGCACATTGCGTGGTGTATTTTTATTTTTCGAAGTTATATTTTTCGATGTTCCCTCATGTGGAATTACAAATTAGTACTCAAAAAGACCCTGACCTCTGATAAAACCCTTAGAATTCATTGCCTGTCGTATTTTGTTTTCATTTTAATCCTCATAGTTTTCGTGTGTGTCTTCTAGGATGCTGTTGACTTTCTTAGCATTTTTTCAGATATTTCCGGAAATGACCCGGATTTTATCCGGCCGAGGGCTGTTTTTTCAGCGATCTAACCTTGTTTCGATCAGTGAATTTTAGGTTAAGATTGTCTTTACTGGAGCAAATCCTAGCAACAGGGTTGCTCCGCATTCTCCTGATCTGTGCTAGCATTGAGTCCAACTCGGGCCTGGAGGAATTTTTTTGCTGCGTTTGCGCCAAAAGGTTGCATCCAAACTCTCCCTTGGTTAGGTGCAACGAATGCAATGGATGGAGCCATCTTAAGACCTGCTCAGGCCTTAAGACACATAGGCAGTGGATCTCAAGTTATGTGGCCCCATGCTGCCAACGCACTTTTGCAACACCAGCCTCTACGGCCGCGCGAATTGCATCATGTGCGCGTACTGCGCCGCCACTCCAGTCGAATGGCCAACAAAAGACTTCTTCGGCCCTAAAGAACTCAAACAGGCAGTCGGATCAGTACCCCCCAACCTGCATCCGGCTCCAAACCTCGTGCGGGAACCATTCAGTAACTGCTGGTTCTTTGCATGGTCTGTTCCGTGTGTCAGACCGCCATACGTCGGAACGCCACATCAGTCAAGTGCAATTCTTGTACTGGCTGGAATCACTTTCCGACGTGTTCCGGCCTGAACACCACGCGTGAGTGGAGAGTGTCCTAAACAGCCGCTCAGATATATTGAGTTGTGCAGGTTTCCACATTATACGTAAGAATCGCTAGCGAGATAATGGTGCAGGGCTAGCCTTTAACACTGGGCAATATCGTCTTATCGATGGGGATATATACAATATACCTTGTCAAATCCGAAGGCACATGACGACCGGGTTGAGATCCGATTCGATGGCCTCCTCCGACCCGAAGAAGTACGCGAGCAGCCGGCAGTTCACATTGCACCTTTCGACAGACAAGACCAAACGATGTGTTACCCGAAGGCTGCGCAAAATGCCAAAAGACTTGACGCCACTTACTTTCACCGATGAGGAGGTTCAGAGTGTGATCAACAAGGTAAAATTATCGAAGTCCATTGGCTCAGATGGAATAAACCTGCTGATGCTAAAGCACCTAGGCTCGACAAGTTTTCTAACCAAGGTCCTCAACCTGTCACTGACCACTCTTCAAATACCAGATGTGTGGAAAATTGCAACAAAGGGGAGTCTTATCGTCGGATAACTCTCCTTTCCCCAGTAGTGAAGACCCTTGAGGCCTTGCTTCTCCGGACGTTCATGCATCACCTGAGTCTAGCAGGCCACCAGCATAGCTTCCGCAAAAAGCACAGCACCACCACAGCATTAGCGTCATAAGCGTCCTGCTGGTTCATAGCTTAAACCGAAAGCCACCCTGTGAAAGGACGATCTTCATAGCGTTAGACTTGTCAAAAGCTTTTGACACAGTCAATCATACAACTTGAGGACATAGAACAATCCACGCTTCTTCCAGGGTTGAAGAGGTGGACTATGAACTACCTGAGCGGTCGGTATTGATGTCGGGCAATGGAATCAATGGATTGTGTTTAAAAGTAAACGGCTATCTCTCCGACCTTTCTCGCTTCTTCTTCGCAAGCAGCTTACCACTCTTCCCCACTAAATAGCGACTATATTCACGAACGGATAACATACTGGATTACAGTCGCTGCATCAAAATTCTGACTGTCAATAATCCTAAGATTTTAGGCGTAACATTTGACAGCCTATACTTCGTCACTCCTCATACGACCGCGATAACTGCCAAAGTACAGAGCCGCAAAAAAATCTTAAAGTCGCTAGTCAGCGGCTCATGGGGAAAAGACAAAGCAAGGTTGTTGGCAACATACAAGGCACTCCAACGCACCAATATGGTCGCCTGGATGTAGTGAAACACACTCCGGACTATCATGGAATGTCTCCTAATGTCTCTGGTCGAACACTTACATAGCGAGGCTCGTATGCTTCCGGTTAAGGAACACAACGAGCGCCAGTCATCTGCATAAAGCGGAACCGACTCCTAGAAACAACAAGAGGTCCTTTCTTAACTACGTCGACGACATCGAAGAGCACACCGACCAGACACGCACCGCCATTCACAGTGGAGCCATAGACACCTTCACCGCCTCACTCACAGTGAATGGCATACTTGGAGTCAAACCACCACCCATCGGAGACGTAGAGCTCGAGTTGCCGCGTGAATCTAGAGTGACCCTTGGGCAACTTTGTTCTGGATACTGTAAACTCCTACTTATCCAGAATCGACTCAGACACACCAAATATAAGTCCTGCATGCAATAAGTCTCCGCATTACACTAACCACCTCTTTACATGCCCCACGAACCCCACTTATCTAACACCCATTTCCCTACTGTTAGATGATATCGAAGACAAGCAATCTGATCCTTACCACATAAGCGGGGATTAGATAACCATTACAACAACAACAACCAGAAATTACCCGGCTGGAGTCAGACCCGTTGTTTTAGGTACAGCAGACCGATAAGCCATCAGGAACAAGGATATATGGGTATCCCAATTTTTTTGATACTTATCCACAATTGGCCATCCACTCTGTATGTGATTGACGACAACCAACCCAATAAAAACTTTGTTTTAATTTCTCCAAGGTTTTAGTGATTCACATGTATCCTCACCTGGACCGTTGTGAATCTCGTTGAGAACTGCGGGAACTTTTACAATCGCAACAATCACCAAAGTTCGGGATTTTTCCTCATCTTCGCTTTCCATCCTCGATGCAAGTAGCCAGATACCAATTTTTAACTATAATATTTTTGCCGAATATGCCTTTGCAACAGGGCTTTCTGCAGCTATTTCTTCTCTTGTTGGACGTTTATTCATTACCAATCCAGGAATAAAAATTTTGCAAATCTAGATCTTCTTGCTGACATTTCTGTAGTTCCTTCAGAACCCAGTCTGCTGTTATTATCATTAATCGGACATCTCTAATGTCTTCTTTGACATCTGCTTTCGAGCAAAGTCTGCCTTCCAAATGACAGGGACGGCGGGATATTGCATCTAAATATCCATGACTACTATCTCTGCAACTTTTAATGCAACGAACAATGAAGCTCCTTTATCTTTATAAGTTACATAAATTCACAACAACCTAAAAATTGGTGAGACCGTTTAAAATATAATTATAAATAAAATTTCAAGGCCAAAGGTCAATTCGATTGTGAATGTTTGTGATTTTTTAATAGGGTAAGTTTTATCATAAAAATGTCTAAGAACAAAATTGTAGATTATAAAATTATCTATAAAATATTTTTTAATTCATTTTTTCCTTCGAGCTACTGTTTCGGAGATATAACGATTAAAAAATTTAGTAAAGTTGTAATATAATCTTTTTTATACAGGTGAAAGATGGGGTTTTTATACTTTAAAATTTTATATATAAATATATATTGGGAATTGGGCGATAAATCGTCTACCTTCTAACTCACTCTTAAGTTCGATCACTAGATTGTTAAATAAAAGTCCAAATTTAATGGCTATACACTTATCTTTATATCTAATTCCAACAACTTAACACTTATTGCTCGTTATTTGAACTTACAACTTCTTACTCAGGTCTTAATTGCTCATAGCACGACACCACTCTAACCAGAAATGTGTGTGCTACATAATCTGGCAGCCCTTACATAGTTCATCTTTAATAAATGTTCGTCCAGAGAACGTATATTATAATATATCATAATATACGTTCTCTGACAATATACCAAAAACTAAAAACATTGTATAAGCCTACAAGTAACCAAAGAATCAGCTGTTTTCCTATGTGTGTGAAACAGCTGTGATCACCTGATTGAATATGCCTTTTTTTGACACAGAGTTTTAAATATAAGGATGTAGTTTAACAATTTGTTTATGAATATAAATTCGTAATGGAAATAATAATGAAAACTTTCAAGAATATTATCGAAACAAATGGGTTTTATATATTTATTGCCTCTCCTCACCACCTCTGAGGTTGCAAGATAGGCGCGTTACCGATCACAGTAATATTTTTGATAAAATTGGAAACATTAAATAATATTTCAATACAATAAATAATAAGTTAAATAATACTATGTAAATTGAAGCTTTACGAATTATGACAACCGAAAAATATTTGAATATGTAATAAAAACATTCTTAAAGTTATAAATGTTAAAACTTAACACGGCAACACACTATAGCAGATTTGTGGCATTTGGACGTTTTAGTAGTAGAATATTGGTTGGCAACCTGTACCAAGTGTGACTTTAGTACTAGAATATAAGCAGGCAACCCGTACCAAGTGTAATTTAGTAGTAGAGTTTATGAGGCAACCCGTACCAAGTGGGACATTTCTGCGTGTGTATTAGTGAAAATCTTAGTTTGGTTAATTGTAGATTTATACAATGCTTAAATCGTCAGAGATAAAAGTATGCAACTGATCTAGTTCCTCATTTGCAATTTATTCATACATAAAATATAAATAAATTGTACATTTTTATCTATGATTGTTGGAGAATGGAATTCAATGAAATTTTTACAAATGAAGAAAGAATTTGTCGCCTATGCGGCGAAAAGCAACATAATGTCATAGAACTTTCTGGAAAGGATAGTAACGATATTAAATCTTTAATCAGACGCACTCTTGGCTTTTTGAATATAAAGGTAAATTACATTATTTTCTTGCCCTTGTCTATAATGTACATGAGTTCTTTTACGTGTTTAGTACAAAGAAAATGATTACTTTCCAAATTGTTTATGCGTCGCTTGTCATTTGGATGCTGAATCAACAGTTAAATTTCTTCAAATGGTAGAAGAGGGACAAAGGAAATTGACGCAAAAGTTAAGAAGGAAAAATGTGATGTCAATTGATGGGGAAAATTTTATTGACGGAGCTCCCACTCCCACTACAGGTCCAAAATTATCAAAGCACACCCCTCCTAAAAAATTCACTAAACGTGTAAGAAAAAAGAAAAAACGTTTTCCTTGTGATCCTTCTCCTTACCTTGAGGGTGAACAAATCGATGTCAGTTTAGGTAAGAAGATTAACTTCAATATAAAGCATACACTATAGTTAATTGTATTCCTCTTCGCAATAGAAATAAATTCAGACAATTCTTCAGAGATAAACACTGGAACGCTCATCACTATACAACCAATTGCTGAATTAAGATCTGCAAATGGGTCGTCTTTAGCAGAAATAATTTCAGTTGGTTCAGATGCTCCTATGCATCAGTCAACACCCACTAAGCCAGAAATACGTATGATATGTGAATACTGTAAAGAAGTCTTTACAAAACAACACATATTTCTAAAACATTTACGGACGCATAATGATTCTCTATATAAATGTTTGGCGTGTGCATCAAAGTTCGAGACATTAACTAACGTGAAGAAACATCACAAGCTTACTCGTCATAAAGGTACAACACTTCTGACCAAAACTAACACTGAAAATAATGAAAAACAATCGCCGGACAAAAAATCCGAAACCACAATTAATATAGTTGTAAATGATGAAGGACATATCACTTCTATTAATTCAGATGTAAATGCAACGCCCAAAGGAAACGATGAAACTGCTAAGTCACCGGTAAATATAGCTGAAAATATAGAGCAGGTACGATCAGTTTTGTCGCCTAAAATAAGCTCGTTTAAATGTTTGAAGTGCAACAAATCATATAAAACTCACTATTCGGTGTTACGTCATCACAAACAAGTCCATGTGGGCATTCGACCGTACAAGTGTCAATATTGCACTGCCAGCTTTAAGGTAAACTAGAAACAAAACGTCTTTATTATTACCTCGATTAATACTTTTTTGTTGCATAATTACTTTACAGCACACTACCAATTTGACTTATCATATGGCTAAACACACCGGTATACGAAATTTTAAATGCAATATATGCTCCAAGGCATTTGTACATAAAAGCGAGCTGACTTTGCACATGCGAACACACACCGGTGACAAACCTTATGTCTGCAAGGTTAGTAAACACTTTTTTTTAACTCTTGAATGGAGATCATCACTGCTTCCAATATCCGTACATCTAGCACTGTTCCAAAGGCTTTGCGCATCGTTCCAATATGGTCACACATATGCGATTGCACTCTGGTCAATTACCGTTTAATTGCGAAACATGCGGCGCAAATTTCAACAGCAGTTCCCATTGGAAACTGCACAAACAAATGCATCTAAAACACGCACAACGTGCAGTCCTCGCACGTTTGCAGGGCAATAAAGCGAAAAATGCCATATTAAGCGATACACTTGAATCTACTGTTAATGCATCTTCAACACAGACTTACGACTCCGTCCAAAAATCAAATGTTCCCATGTCCTTGCTTCGTTCAAAAGTTACAAACGTAAAGTCTGTTGAGGTATTGCCACCTCTCAAAACATTACCCGGTCCTAACATCGTTATTAGTAAAGACGAATTGGAAAGGCTCATTCTTACAAATATACCCATGAGTGTTAGCACCGCTCCTAAGGGCACCCAACTTAGATATAAATGCGATCGGTGTTTTCAACGTTTCAATTTGAAATCTGCTTTGACGAAGCACTTGCGTACACACACGGGAGAAAGGCCTTATAAGTGCCCATTTTGTCCGCGAACATTTGCTGATGCATCAAATTTTAAACGTCACAAGACGCTACACAAAACAGCCACGGAAGAGTTACAAAATGTCACCAAAAAATATAAGACTTCTGATTTGTTGCATGAATTTCAGCGTGATAGAAAAAAAGCACTTCCTGTTGGAAATGTCTCACCAACCCATAGTGTAGCATCAGATCCCGATCCAGACGGTTTGGAGGCACATCAACTAACAAGCGCACCTTCGCCAAAAAGTGCTTCCGATGTCAGTGATACTGTCGTTGATATGCTGCACAGCATAGCTGGCGAAACAAAGTGGAAGATATCAAGTGGCCACGATACTTCCCATAGTACAAGCGAGGTGAATGTTTTACACAGACCTGCAATTCCCAAATCTCCACAAAAACTAATTTGTATTTCTTATCCGAATCCAGCGAACCCCAGTGATAACAAAATTACTACTTTTTATGTGTAAATAAAGTTTTAAAGTTTTAAAAGTTATACATATCGTATGTATGTAAATTGTTATTTTTATAAAAATTATGGTTTAGTGTAAGAATTAAACAGTATTACAGCGGTGATAAGTAAGGCTGGAACTTACGATTTTATACCCAGTAATATGTCTACAAAATATATTTCACTGTATAAGATAAGTGGCCATACCCTGTATTTTTAACATGATTTGCTAATCGGACAAACACACATAAATCAGAGAATGTTAATGATTAGAGAAGACGCAAATGTTAGATCTAATCTTTTTGAGTACTAATTTGTAGTTTTCACATGAGGGAACATCGAAAAACATAATTTCGAAAAGAAAAATACAGCACGCAATGTGGGAATAAAACAGTGGCTAAAGCGGCCAGTCCCAATTTTTGACGAGGCTGAGGTCGTAAGCGTGATGGAGTTAAGACCAATGTAAATACGAGCACTTAAGTTCAATTCCTGAAAATCATGAAACAATTTTTTTTATTTTATTAATTGAAATCATAGCAGCTGTTCTCAATTCAGTTACTTTACTTACTGAGATAGTTAAGATATTTCAGAAAAATATGCTCATATATTAATTAAATGCTTTCTTATTTATACACAAATATGACAGATATGACAAGCACATATACATCCTTAAATAAATTAGCGTACGTTTATTACAGCTTACATCTTCTTGACCCGCAGGAACTATGATTTTTGTGCTCACTTTTGGCATTTTCGAGAACAGCTAGAACGAAGCGAGTTGAATTATCGCAGGCAAGGATTTAGTGGGGGACAGTGTTGAGCTCCTTGCAGTGAAGAAGCGAGAAAAGTCGGAGAGATAGCCGTTTACTTTCGAGCACATGCCATCGATTCCATAGCCCTAAGTCAATATCGTGCAATCATCAGCATACGAGGTCATGGAAATTCCCTCTGGTGGTTGGGGGAGTTTCAAGAAGTGGAAGTTAAACATTAGCGGGGAGAGGACACCTCCCTGCGGAACCCCCTGTTTAATTCTTCTCAGCTTGAAAGGAGCGTGGGTTGTTCGATGCCATTAAGTAGCGCTGTATGATTGACCATGAACTATCTGGCGGCTTATGACGCTAAGTGCTATGGTGGTACTGTGCACTTTTAGAAAGGCATGTTGGTGGTCAGCTAGACTCAGGTGGTGAGTGAATTTCGGGAGAAGCAAGGGCCCAAGTGTTTTCACTACTGGGGAAAGGAGAGTTATCGGACGATAAGACTTTTGAGGGCGGGTTTCCCAGTTTTTAGTAGTGGGACCACTCTTCCGACTTTCCACACATCAGGTATTTAAAAATTGGTCCGCGACAAGTTGAGAACCTTGGTGAAATAGCTTACTCCCGTCGAGCCTAGGTGTTTTAGCATCAGCATGCTTATTCCATCAGGGCCAATGGATTTGGACGATTTTGCCTTGTTGGTGACACTCTGAACCTCCCCATCGGTAGGGGGAGTAAGTGTCCGGGAAATTAGGGTGGAGTTTTTCCAGCCGGTATGATGCGAGCGGTAGCAGCAGCGATCATCTTGCGGAATCGCAACTCGTCAACTATGGTAGGAATGGGTAGTGCGGGTAAGGTGCTCTCGGTAAATTCTGTGAAGCCGACCCAGTTAGCTTTGTTAAAGTTAACAAAGGTACGGTTGTCAACAGAAATAAAGTCGGGAGGTTTCTCGATCGAGAGTTGACATAGGTCGCCAGGTTAAGCTATTTTTCAGACCACCGCTAGCGAAGGTAATATCTGGCTGACTATTAGAGGTGCCCATAATTTTGGTGGGGGTTCTTCATTCATTGTGCAGAATGTAGAATCGTTCATCTGTCCCCTAGGATCGTTTGACAGGCAGGAGTGCCAAAGATCGTGGTGCGCGTTAAGTAGAGCATCTGTGCTCGGGTGATATCCTGTTGGGCAACATGTAACTGGGAGGAAGTATACTTGTATATTGAATATCTCGAACTCGACATCGCCTGACCGGATAGCTATACGCTTATATTCTAGGGTAGTATCCCTGCGGTCGATATCACCATCGATTAGACGATATTGCACGGTGTTGTGCAGTATTAATTCAATTCTGGTTACCGGATTTTATCCGGTTAGGGCTAAGTTTGCCGCCCTAGAGCAATATCTAGCAGCAGGGTTGCTCCGTATACTCCTAACCCGGGCATTTGCGCGAAAAGGCTCCAACGCACAATTGCAATCTGCACCATGTTTACGCACTGCGGCGTCACTCCAGTCTGACCAATCCCCCCCCCCAACCTTCATCCCGCTCCAATCCTCGTGCGCGAACCACTCTGCAACTCCTGGTTCCCTGCATAGTCTGTTCCGTGTGTCAGACCCTCATACGTCACATTAGACAAGTGCAATTCTTGTACTGGCTGGTGTCACTTTCCGTCGTGTTTCGGACTCCTGGTTCCCCGCATAGTCTGTTCCGTGTGTCAGACCCTTATACGTCGGAACGTCACATTAGGCAAGTGCAATTCTTGTCTTCTTTCCGTCGTGTTCCGGACTGCGCACCACACGTGAGTGGAGTGCGTCGTATATTGCCTCGTGTATTCTGTCCCTGCAATCCCATTTAGTGACGTCGCCAAACAACATCACAGTGCGACAACCGCCCCTGCGGATATTACAGCTGCAACAACCACCACCTACATGTGCCTTCCTCATCATTCACAAACTGCCAAAGTACAGAGCCGCAACAAAATCCTCAAATCGCTTTCCGGTAGCTCATGCGGAAAAGACAAAGAAACGTTGCTGGGAACTTACAAGGAATCGGCCGGCCGGTCTTAAATTACGCTGCACCGATATGGTCGGTGGATGTAGGTCAACGCAGACTAAGAAGCTTCAGACATGCCAGAGCACTGCACTCCGGACTATTACGGGATGCCTTTTGATATCTCCAATCGAACACGTACACAGTGAGGCCCGTATGCTTTCGGTTAAGGAACACAACGAGCTCCTCTCCAAATAGTTCCTGCTGGGATGTTTTCGCAGAAACCACCCCTACAGTCGTCTGCTTGAAGCGGAACCGCCTCCCAGGAACATCAAGAGGTCCTTTCTTGATTACATCGACGACACCGACCAAACTTCGGACGCAACTAACTTCAGACATGCACTGATCGCCATTCACAGCGGAGCCATCAACATCTTCATCGACTACCTCTCAGTGAATGGCGTACTTGGAGTCAAACCACCACCCATCGCAGACGAAGAGATCGAGTTGCCACGAGAATCTAGAGTGACCCTTGCGCATCTTCGTATTGTAGTAGGTTGAACTCCTACCTAACCAGAATCGACCCCGACATACCAAATATATATTCGGCATGCAATGAGTCTCCGCATGACACTAACCTCCTCTTTGCAACCAAACTGAAACTTACCACCCGAGCGCGGTTGGCAAAAATCCTTCGCTGAGCCCTGCACGAGGGTGCCGACTGGGAATAAAAACCACAGTTTCACGACGTAGGTAAGGACGAGCTGGCAGCAGTTCGCCTCTGTTTTAGTAGTAAGGTACCTAGCTAAGGTCAGGCTTCCTATCTGGGTGTTTGTTACTCTTCAATAGTACAGAATCCAGATAGGAGGTCTTACTAAGGTAGGAGGTGTGTAAAGGACTGGATCAAGGTGTCATGCCTGCCATCAACCTGGCTGGGGGCCCTTAAATAGCTCAGTCCCGCACGGAGCTTACGGATACCTGGCGCTTTCCGTAATAAGATAGCCTTACTTATGTATCGGGGGCTTTGCGTAAGCGGACATACTTTCCCCTGCACGCGTGGGTCCAAAATATGAGCCAGTTACTAAAGAATAATAATAAAAACAAATAGGAGTCCGAACCTCCTTTAAAAAGACCGGAGGGAGCACGTTGTTCCCCGCTTGGTCCTGGAGCAAAGGCAGACACTAAAGGTGCAGAAGCCAAGACTGGCGTCAGGAAAGCATCAGCACCTTAGACAGCCCATACCAACCCCTGTAGCCAAGGTTTGGCTGCTAAGCAGGGGAAGGAGGGAGATGGCAAAAGTGATGCTGCCAGTAGTGGGTCAGCCAGAGAATGGCCTACCTTTAATATTGACGACCCAACGAAGGCAAGATATGCAGAGAAGCGACGCACTGCATACCCGCTGAGGAAGGTGGAGCTGCAACTGCCAACCAATGAGGAGCTCACTGATATGAGCAGATAATGCAGCTCATTAGAGCCTATAACCCGAATTTACCAACTGGGGGATGGAGATTCGTCAGGGCCTTCGATGGTCCCGCAGCGAAATCTGGTGTAGAGACGAAACGAGCCACAATGCAGGTTCTGTTGCTCCTAACAAAGGAATCCGTAGAACCGCTAACGAAAAGTGGCGGAGAGATCAACTACGGATTAACAAAAGTGAAGGTTATGACCTACAAGTCAGACGCCGATGCAGTTGAAAGCTTGGCATCGGAATCGGAATGCGAAGTCAAGGAAGATCCAATGGAGTCCTCGAGTGATGTGGAGAACACTGAACAAGGTGAGTGTACTTTACACTGAGAGTGAGCTTTTAAGCGACTCTCAAAAAGACGCAGAGAAGACGCTAATTAATGCGTAATGCAGAGATTGAAAAGTTTCTGGAGATAAAAGAATACACCCTCGTAGCTTTTCTAGACATAAAAGGTGCTTTTAATACATCCAGCCGAAGGCCATATTGCGCTCTTAAAGATCTGGACACCTCTGAGCCTCTCTGGAAATTAATTGAACAGATGCTTTTTGGCAGGTCAATTATTTCAACGCTGGGAGCTTTAATGATGCGCAGGTCTGTCCGAAGGATAGATTAGTAGATACTTAATCGACAAACATGTCATTAACATAGCCGAGTGTTAGTGGAATCAGTCCCTGACTTGTTCAACTAGCAGACAAACGTGGCATGAATGAAATATGAGCCGCACATGCCGACTGTTAAAATTCAAACGGAATGATATAAGAACTCTAGTAGGAGTACTAACAGGCCACTGTCTAATCGGCAGACATGCAAGTAGACTTAGTACGCCGTATAACGACTATTGTAGAAGCTGTCAGG